GTGAAGAAAAGTAGCATGAATAATATTTTTTGTAAATTTCTTGACAATTTTGTTGTCTGTTATTTAAACAATAACTTGATCTATTCTAAGAAAATAGAAGAACATAAACTTTATATTTGTCGTATATTACAAAAACTAAAAGATATAAGATTACATGCTAAGATAGAAAAGTGTATATTTTATACTACTCAAATTGATTTCTTATGATACATCATTTCAAACAATGGTCTTATCATAGATCCTAAATAGATTCAAACTATTATAGATTAGAAGATTCCAAAAACAATCAAAGATGTGCAATATTTTTTAAAAAATCCATTTATTATCAAATCTTTATCAAGAACTTTTTTCAAGTTGTGGCCCTTCTTATACACTTGACTTGTAAACAAAAATTTGAATGGAGCAAAGAAACTGAAGCATCTTTTGAAGCTTTGAAGATAGTATTTATTTTTGCACCAATTATATATTGTATCAATTTTTCAAAGACATTCTTCATTGAAAGAGACCAGATTTAGGATTTAGGATTTTGGATTTAGGACAAATGGAATGGGTGAATTAAGTTTTAAAGTAGTATTTAATATACACCATTAATTATCATCAAGATGATTGGATAATTCTTTTACCATTAATAAAGTTTGTATACAATAATTTGATATATTCTTTTACTCAAAAAATACCTTTTTTTATCAATTATGGTTATCATCTATGATTTGATACTTTTGACTTTTCAAATATTAATAAACTTATGGTAGAAGATTTGGCAAATTATTTGACATAGCTATATGCAACAATGAAGGCACAATTAAAAGAAACTCAAGAACAACAAAAGATCAATATATATGTCTATCGCAAGGAATAACCACAATTCATTGTGTATGACAAGGTATAATTACTTTATCACAATGTCAAGACTACTTGTCCTTGTGACAAGTTAGATTATTATAAGCTTTGATCTTTTCTTATTTTTGAAGAAGTCAATTATAATATTTATTGATTATATCTATCGTAATCTATAAAGATTCATTGTTTATTCCATATGTTTCTTCTTAAGCCATATAAGACAATGAAAATCTCAAGAAGAAGACAAATGCCACTTCTTCTTATAAAAGTGGATAATAATCAAGAGTTTAAGATTAAAAAAAAAAAAAAAAAAAAAAAAAAAAAAAAAAATCTTAGATTTAAGGTAGTACTAAAATAGATCAAAATATCTTGTTCAATGGCATAGATATGATATTAATTAATGTACATGGGAATCAGTAAAAAAATTGCAAATGTAATAAATAATATTGAGGCTTTTTATCAATAACATCCATCAAAACCATGATGAAATATAGCAAATCTTTGCTATAAAAGAAACAAGATCTAGAAAAGATAGCATTCTACCTTCTATTCTTGTTTGTAACTTTTGTGTATTTATGATGTTAAGGAGATGAAGAACCAATAACCAACAAATTCAACTCAAGAGCTATCACTTTTTTACTTATTACATGAAACATTGTAATTATCATAACATTCAAGATGACGTAATTAAGATAAAGATCTTCAAAAGTCACATGTCGTTTTTCAAATAAATGGCAAGATATAATGTATTTGGTATCACAAGCTTAGAAGAGACTTCTAATACTTGGTGATTTTATTAGAGGTAAAAACAACTCTTGATAATATTTCAAATATTTTATTTGAAGAAAGTTATAAAGACCTCAACAACGATCAAATAATAGGGTGATCTTCTTATTGTAATATAGAATACTATTGATGGCTAAGAAGACCTATTAACCATCTTCAAAGAGAATAAAGATCAAAGTATGTGGCAAAGATAATTTATTGTATCTTGGATATCTTCAACATATGATGACCGCTCTTTGGAAAACTTGTTCCTAGAAGAAAAGAGTAATACCAAAGACATATATATTTATTCTAATATTTTTCTATATGATTAAGTAGAAATAGAAAAAAATAGATTTATTTCATAATATTTTTTAGAGAAGCTTTGTAGAAGCTTCAAAGACATTGCATTAATGTTACATATGTTTGTAGTTGATTGGTAGGTTAGAAACTTCATCAACATATTTACCACATATTGATAGCTTGTGGAAGAAGCTAGTTATGTAGTATACACATAAAAAACTTGCCTTACAAGTTAAGATATGTATCTTGCAAAGTCAACATGTTTTCGAGGTCTTATAGGACATCACCACATAGCTCATAGTTAAGAGTATATACAGAGGCAAGAATGAAGCCTTCTTCACTCTTTTTAATGTCTTTCTAGTCCTTAGTCTTGTTTCAAGACTTTTTAGTCTTCTTATCTCTGGCAATAGCCATTCTAATTTAATACTATAGCACCTTTAAGTGATTTTCTAGTCTTTTCAAGTGACACAAGAGTGTATTGATATTTTAATTCTTTGAGGTTTATATCCTTGACAGATGCATTTCTTAGCAAGGATTTGCATAATATAATAATATAAAATAGAATATAAACATGTTAACTAAATTTGATGTATTAGCTTTTAATGCTTAAGAAAAGAAGACCATTAAACTTATATATGAGTATTCTTTAATTGGCTTCAATCTTCATTAACATTTTTATCAAGTAATAGTATTTTAATATAATAATGTACAAAATATTATCAATTATATAACATTAGAAAGAATATTAAGGCATAATTAATTGCATAAAAATCTAAAATATTAAAATAATTATATTTAGAAACAAAATCTTACTTAAAATAGTAGACTTAATATATAAGCCATTACAAAGTAGTCTAAAAGCATCATCAAATATATAGTATAACATTTGATGAAAGTAAATACTTTATTTTTTTTATAAAGTTTAAATAAGGTCCTTTGTAGAACAATTGAAGAATATGGTTTTGAAGCTTTTTTAAGCTTCATTTTTTACAAATGACATGATTCATATAAAGAATAATTGACAAGATATATCAATTTAAAGCCATCATATATAATAAAATCATTAATAATTTATTTAAATTTGATACATAATATTTTATTCTTTATTAAATTAGCTATGAAATTTAATGGTTGACTTTTCTTTATAACATAATAAAACCTCTTAATATACAAGTCAATTTTAATTGTCTACTATATTTGAATTTTTATTGTTCAACCTTCTATATTTTTTTTGTCAAATTATAAGATATTATCTTAATAGATTTTTTTTTTACATAAAATTTTAATTTTAAAAATATAATATTTATTTTTAGATATTATTTTAATTTTTAGTTTTTTATTTAATGTTATTTTTTTAATTATTCTTACATTAGAAATTTAAGTATATTGGGTATTTTATAGGAAAAAAACAAAAAATATTAAATTATATTTTATAAATAATAAACTATTTCTTAATTAATACTATAAAAAATCTCAAATAATTATCTTAATTAAATAATAAAATTACTTAAATAAAAAATATATCCTCAATAAGCACAAAATCTATAGAAAATTGTTAATGCTACATTTCCAATGGATATTACTATATTTTACGTGACATCTTTATAAACAATTAGCTTATAACATGCATCTTTCTTTTTGCACATATTTCCTTGCTTTGAATTAAGAAACATTTGTGATCAAGAGAGAGACCACAAGTAATTTATGAAAAAAACAAGTTGGAAGCTTTTTAAAATAAAAAAATAATATATTTTTCTTAAAAATTATTGAATTTAAATTAGTATTTTTTATTTTATTTTATTTGGCTACCAAAAATTCAGAAAATATATATATATATATATATATATATATATATATATATAATATTTTTATTACTAATAAATAGATTACAACATAATTTGCAGAGAGATATTAAATTAATAAATATTAATGATAATATTATTTATATATATTTATATATATGAATGTTTGGTTAAAATTAAAGTTTCTATCAATTCTAGATTTTTTTTATTTTTGGTAGTCACTTATTAAAAAATATGGATATTATTTATTTATTTATTTATTTATTTCATTAAGCTGCCGCAAATTAAATTAACAACATACTTTAATAGAATTTTGTTATATCCACTATCTGTTTTGAAAGCCTATAAAATTATCTAATATGTTAGTCTTAAGTAATTCTTACATTAAAGACTCTAACCATCGTTTTATAAAACAATGTGTTGGTTATTTTATTATTTTATTTTTTATAATTAATTCATGAAATCTAGTAATTTCAGATTTTTAAACTAATAATTTAATATGAACTTTTTATTTTGTAAATTTACATGCACTTTGAGAAACCAATACTAGAACTATCACTTCTCTGATTTCCCTCAAAATTCAAATAAATCAAAATTTGAACTCTTATTTCCATTTCAAATACTTACATATCCTTTTATATATTTGATACCGCTGAATTTGTCACAAGTTCAAATTCCCGCTTATCCTCTTGTTCTTCAGAATTCTATTTTTATGTGCATTCAGTGTTTTTCTTTTTCTTTTTGCATGCACATTTCAACAAAAGGTTTAATGATGTACTATATTCAATATTTTTTATTTCGTAGCTCATTGTTTTACTTAAGTTATATATATATATATATATATATATAGTCATCGAATTTATACCTCAGAATAGAATTAAAATAAATTTTTGAATAGTAATTGTTACAACGTGAATAAAACAAATCAATGTACTTAAGTGAAACTTTTGAGATTTTAGACGATTAAGTAGTATTGATAACTAATTCTCAACTAAGTAGGAGAAATGTAATCTTCACAGTTATATTTCATGTACAAAGGTCACACAGCAGAGGAAAATTTCTTGAAAAAAAACTGTACTAAAAGCAATATCATATCCCACACAACATCAAACAGCGTCGTACTGAAAAGTAGAAGATGACATACTTGGGTCAAGCCAGGATGTAGCAAACGACCAAGCCAAACTTTCAAAGAAAACTCGCAGAACTGGCGAAGAATTGAACAAAAACAAAAAAAACAAAAAACAAAAAACAAAAAAAATACAGAATTCTCCGTGTGAAATGTGCAAGCCATGAAACTCAGTAAAAATGATTGAATAGATGAGAAAATCTCCGTAACAATTGCACAGTCATGCATTCTATTGTACTCATTTTGAGCTACGATTGCAGCACATACTCTACATGTGGGAAGCTACTTCTCCCCATCAGACAAGCAGCTAGCCTAGAATTTAAATGTCCCCACGTCTCTTCAGTGCAGTGCGGCAGAATGAAACAAAAGCTCAATATCAAGCAAGTCCCCCCACAGAATGTGCAGATATCCGGATTTGGGTCGCAGCTGCAATGAACACTAAACAAACTTCAACACAATTGAAAGAGAGAAAATGGCTGAGGAAAACAGTAGATATCATAGAATGCAAGTAACGAGCAAAACAGACACAAATCCAATTTATCAAATTAGAACACAGAGACGTGTGCAATCGAAAAGAGGCAGTGAGTGTTTCGAGGGTACTGATATAATATCATATTTGTGTTTATGTAGATTATGTTTTTAACAGAAAAGTCTCGTAACTTACCAAAAATATTGTTGTTGGTTACAACTATGAAAGGCCTTGGCGGCTCAGGATGGTTCTCCTCAGTGAGGACTTGATTTGCAAGAGCCGACGGTGATGGTTGTTGGGATCCTCACCGGCTCCAGTGAGTTCATTCACGAACGTCAGAGCAATGCTGAGCAGTTTGTTGACGTGCTTGGCCTGATCTCCGGTGATTTTGTCGCTGCCGGGGAAAGGACCAAGATCGTCGATACCTTCTTGGCATGTGTCTTGGTTTGTCATTGCAGCACTCATGGAGCTTAGCGCATCTGTCCCGGCAGTGCCAGGGGCCTGGGCATCCATTCCTGCAATAATGTGCATGGATATGTTGACCAGGTCGAGTGCTTCGCTAAACACTTCAATACATTGTTGAAGCGCAGCATTGTCGGGATTGACGGGCGCTAATCCCTGTGCCAGGATGAGAGACTCGTTCATGGCGTGTGATGCCGCTTCCATGGACATTAAGGTCCATTGCTGAAGGTCCACCTTCTTCGAATTCGGGTTGCTCGCGAACACGGTGAGGCAGACGGTAGGGTCTCTGAAAAACCAAAGATGTCGCAATTCGTGAATAGAGGCACCCAAACGTTTGAGGATTAAATAGTTGACGCATCACACTCTACTCAAAGTTAAAGGATCAGAAACCTTCGCCTTTCTGAGAACCTGTTAGTCCACACATCGAAAGATTGCAATATTTGACAAGAATGCTCTAATCGAAAGTAAAACAACGAAGCATACTCTGGTACCAACATCAGAAAGACAAACCCTATAAAACGAAACCATAATGAAAGGATTTCTCTTCGAATGAAAGCCCCGCGACCTGCGTTGTACACGAGGACATTTGACAACGTAAGATGTAGAAGTTGTGATTATTAAGTGTAACATAACGGAAAAGGACTTACATTGTTTTGTTGCAAATGGTTTCGTAGCGGACTTGATCATAGGGCGTCTGATGAGTAGAGGGACCAAACGCGGGTGGGGGAGCGGAGATCGAGGGAGAGGGTGATTGACGAGATGGTGAGGGAGATGGTGAGGGAGATGGTTGGGAAGATGGTGAAGGAGGTTGTTTAGGAGATGAGACCGGGTCCGACGATGCCTCAATAGTGGGAGCTGGTGGTGAGCTCGCCCATCCATCTCCATAACCAGAATCTTCTATGGGACTAGGAGCGGGTGATATTTTTCCGTGCTCATGTCGAATTGGGCTGCTATCGGAAGAAGTATCTTGAGCGTTCTTTTTCCCGCCTACAATAGTTCCACTAACGATGGCCGCGACGGCAATGAGAACAATGCAAAAACTTACAGCGTAGCACCGCGACCTGCCTTTCGACCTCCTGGACATAGGTACATCGAACTCAGACATCTGCAAGCTGGTCTCTAAGCTCGCATACTGGGTAGAAGAACTGAGTAATCCAGCACCGCGTGAATCCTCTAATCTCATCATCTTGGCAGTATTTACAGACGAATCTCGTAACCTCGTCAACTGATCAATGAACTAGTAGGGGCTGCAGCTGCAACTCATCAGGCCCAAACCCGCACCATAGCCAACTCAAACGTCAACAACTGCTTCCAAAATATCAAAACTGGAGCCCGTAGAATGATGTAGAATGCCCAGGTACACAACCTTCATCAGCGCACTTTGGATCCGAAACACATTGAATACCCGAATATTCTTTCGCGCGCACAAAGAAAATCCATAAACACGAATGGTTTATCAAGTCGTACAGCTCCTACCCGCGTCCCCCGTGACGTCTTCCTGAATTTCAACGAAATCTTCACGAATCCAAGCCAAAAACAAACTCACAACTCATCAATCTACACACTATAAATGCGCTACGAGGTTTTGTAGGCTACGCAGACCCGGTCCAAAATGCTCCACCTGCAATCAAAACGTGCACACAAAAGCCAGAAACCATCGGTTTCACCGCAGCGCTCAGGCGCAGTGAAGTCGCTGTGGTGGACGATCAAATCACACTCACTCAGACGAGCGCTACAACTCTCAGATACAGTACCAGGGGAGATCAACCCCCCAAGTTGACATAACCTGGAGATGATTCGAAACCAGAAAAAGCACTACAAGGCAAACAAATCGGAGCCCTAGTGAGGAACAAAAGCCACTAAGCAGGTAGATCTACAGCGTAAAACGGTGAATCTCGACCAGGGTAAATCTTCGATGGAAGCATGACGGCGCAGGGTCCACGACACGGCGAATCTAACGATTCCTCGCTTCAATTATTACCTCCGTCTCCATCCATCACTGCAGCTCTCGTTGGAGGGAATTTGAGGGGGGGGATTCATGGGACCCACATACAAATCAGGACCTGCACTGCGGACTTCGATGGCGTTACGAGGTGCAATTGAGGACCGAACTTTGAGGGTGTGAGAGGTTCGGCGAAGTCTGGTCCAGGACAACCCATTAGCAAAGGGCGCGGTGAAAAGCTGAAATGCAGTGAGCGAGTGAGCGAGGCCAGAATGAGTTGTCTGAGGTAGACAAAATATAAAGTTGGGTGCCGGCCCCACTGAAGTGCAAGAAGAACTCTACAACTGGACGGTGTATAATGAAGGCTGGCTGGCTGGTGTGCGTACGATCCACGGAAGTTTTCTTGCATGATCCCTTTCCCTTTCCCTTTCCCTCCCCTTTCCCTCTAAGTTTAACGAGATCTGATTCAGTTCCCGAGTTCAGCGTCGGTGACACGATCCATCCGTCCACTCACTCACTCACTCCAGCCATTTCTTGTGGTGCTGGCGCTGCCGATGCCCCATCGTCGCTGCCCACACCACTGCTCCTCAATTGAACCAGTCCTCCTCCTCCTCCCTCATTTCCCTCATTCCCATGCTTCGATGAGAGGCAGTTGCTGTTGTTTTGTGTTGCTGTTGTGTTTTGTAAGCATTGCTTGGACTTCACTGATGAGGCATTTCAGCTGCTGCACTAATGATTCGCCCCTTTCATTTTTATTTTTTTTTATTTTTTTATTTTATTTTTTGTTAATATAGTTTTCTGCTTATCTTAGTGCCCAGCTCTCTTATCTGCCTGCCTTTGTACCCATTCTCGTTCTTCCTTGGTGTTCTATGACGTCCTTTATTTCTTGCTCTGTCTACTACTTGTGCATCAAAATCTTCACAACTACAACATGATGCCATTTCAACCATATAACCATAGCTACTTTGCATTCATAAGATTTATACAACACATCCATCTAATTCCACAAGAGATGTGTTCTTTGTAAGAATTGTTGTATAGATCATCAAATTGGAGCAAAATGACTAGTAGAACAATTTTGGAAGAAATTCATATGAACAATTATGTTATAGAAGAATTTGAGATTTACATCATCTTTATTTTTCTATTAAATTCATATATTTATCTATCTAATTTTAAAATAAAAATAAATAGGAAATAAATTAAGATCAAGTTTTGAAGATTTTCCACTCTATGCATCTGCCTAAATGTTACAATTTTCAACAAGTCTTCATCATAATAGAAGGTCCTTGATTGTAAACCAATGCAATATAGTTTGATAAGATAAGGTATGTCCACATAGATGTCTTCTAAGTTGTGAATCTTTTAATTGAAATAATTTTTGATAAAAAAAAATATCTTTATAAAATCCAATCCAATCTCTAATTTTTGTTAGATGTGATTTCTCATCTAACATATTGTGTTAAGAACTTGGATATGTTGTTTTCATATATTTATTTTCAAGGTTTTGTCATTGGTACATAAATTGAATATATGCCAAGTTTTATTACAAGATCCAAATGTTATGTTCATATATATTAAAAATACATTTGATTTGTTACAATCATTTCTTATGAATTTTGGCATTTTTAAGATTACACATGAGTGGATAAATAAATAAACAAGATATATCGATTTATATCAAGATAAGTTGGAAATATTATTATGTAGTTGAAGAGTCAATTTTGCCTAATCTCAACCAATCTTGAACTAAATTTTTTTAGCTTGTATCCCATTTATGATTAAAAACTAAAAATTTAATAAAAAATACAGCTGTCAATTACTTAAGGCATTAAGTTTTGTCATCACAAATTTATATCTAATAAGGAATTAGATGGTCATGTTACTCTTATAACCTATTTTGCTAGTTGCACCAACAATGTTTTTTTTTTTCTAAATGTATAATTCCAAAACATCTATATACCAAAGCATTACCATAGATATTACTTAAGTATTATGACATATAATATATATATATATATATATATATATATATTTCTTAAAATTACTTATTGTGATGCAAATATGTAAATATAGTTTATTTTATTATATCTCATTATTTACAAGTAGGTTTATTATTAATCTTTGAATTAGAATAATTGAGTGAATCATAATTGAGGAGGAGATTTGAGTTTGCTTTAAAATTCTATTATCAGATTGGTGGTTATTATTTCTTCTAATTTTGGACAAAGTCCTCTTAGTTGTTTTTTTTCTTATAGATCATTCACTTATTACTAAATCTTGTTAGGTTCCTTCAAAGTTTTTTTAAGCTAAAAATTTAAAATAACTTCTCAATTAACATTAAGAAGGATTTTAGTGGATGTAACATGTGGAATACCCAATTTATTGATGTATTTCTATGAAATTTAAAAGTTTAGTTTGTCCCTTGTATTTTGTTATGTATGAAAAACATTATAATTGCAACCTTATTCAAGTAAGAAAAAAATATTATTTTCTATCTTACAAACTAACAAATTAGAATTCTTTGTGCAGTATACAAAACACTTTATTATCTTTATTTTTTTTAGTTTATTTGTTTTCTTTTTTGATAGATATGCATTTACTTTGTTATATTTTAGATATGATTGGTCAATGCTTCCACATATTCATTTATTTTGTTTTATTTTATTTGTATAGATTTCTTAGTTTACATATTTAAGTATAAATTTACGTGTTTTAAATTTATATAAATTCATAAAATAGCATTTAAGCTGAAGTCTCAGTAATCAAATACTTATTTTTTCTAACAAAGAACTATACCACTTTAAAAAGTATAATATGCCTAATTTTAAACTAATAGAATATTATTTTGAAATGTATATTATATGCCTAGTTCTTTGATAAGTACTTTACTTAAAAATTATCACACAATACAATTGTTAAAAAACATAATGATTATCAGCTCCAAAAAGATTATGTAGAAGTGGTTATTTCATTGTAGGTGTAATCAAGATGGGAATGTGATGTAGAACAATCAAGCTTGAACCATTGTTTTAAAGCTTTAATGTACACAAAACTCCTTTCCTAATCTTGAGTAAACTTTTTTCTATTCTTAAAAATAAAGAAAAAAATACATACATAAATGTGTATATATATATATATATATATATATAAGAAAATATTAAATAAACCCAAATTTTTACTAAATTTACACACCCATTCTAACCACCATGAAAAGAAAAGATAATGACCTCAATATTTATTTCTCCATTATTAAATTTGTAACAACTAACCACATTCATCATGATTACCATATTCTTCATCAAGCAGTAGGTCCATTTAGTAAAAGCATGGGTCTATTTAACATTCCTATATATATATATGCATACTTATGAAGCATAATAGTGCTTCTCTTGCAATTCACCACAACCTAGGATCAGAAAAGTGGAATTTCAAAAGTGAAATGCCAAAATGTGTGGTTGACACACCAATTTGCAGTTTGATTTTTTTCCTTTCGGACTGTGCCGTGCTTGGGAATTAGTAGGGTCTGTCCACCTTGTTTGTGCGTGCTGTGGTTTTAGGGTTTCTCTGAAGGACGTTGTTGTTTGAATTCCAGCTTGCCTGATTGAGTTTTTTTCCGGGAGCTTCCGTTTCGTTTTGTTAACCCTCGTTTCTTTTGTATACTAAGATTCTCAGGCTCGTCACATTTTGCTTCTTGTGCCGTTGCGTTAGATTGCTCGTTTTGTGTATCGCCACCTCCAATTTCAATTCTTCACGTCGATTTGCCTTGTTTCACCGTCTCAACGTTGTTGTTTTTGTTGTGGTAAGTTTTGAAAGGTCCAGGAATTGAAATAGAACGCCCCCGAGCTTCTCTTACTGAATTTCAAAGGAATTGTGCTACAGGCCTGTTTACTTGGAAGTTTTGTGAAGTTTAGAGCACTGAAAGTCATGCTGTGTGTGGAAGAATAATCGACAACTAGGAGCTGTGCAGATTTTGATTGAAGGCGTGTGGTATTTGAGGGAGGATGAAACGAATCAGTTACAAACTCCACTTGACGCAACAGATGACGCACAGTTAAGGAGTAGACATTTCCGAAATCATCTGCGATCTTCCTGGCTGCGAAATGTGTTGGATTTAGATACCTCATGTGACGATATTCTGCCCCCGCAGGAGTCATGTAATTTATAGCCTCTGGGCGGACTTGTGTTGTTCCCACATGATTAGGGGAAGCCATGACGATCGTGCTCTTGTTTCTGGCGCTCCTGATCTTCCCCTCGTCTCATCGTCGCGATGTCAATTCCCAATCGGAACTTCTCTTCCCGGAAAGCACTGCCAGGTATGACGGGGTTAATGTTGAGACGGAATCCGATCACCTTAATTCGGACTTGAGCGAGATGTTTTCTGAGGACGACGACCGGGCGATGCAATTGTTAAAACCAGGGGCCTATCATGATCGGCTGGAACTTAATCAGATGGTGCTAGAGAGGCTAGCTGCCATCGAGGAGCCGTTATCCTTCGTCTCTGTTGTTGGTCCTTATCATGGGTACCATCCCTTCTATTCTTAAGGTGTTTTGATCACCCCAAATTAGGAAATAATTTATCGCTCCGTGCACCTAATTATTCATGCTATTTCCTCTAATGCATACATGTGTTCCGGCTTACTCTTACATTCTGTCTGCGGACCCTGGAGTCTAAATCCTTTGATTCTCATACTTCATTATCATTAGGGATATACTGCATGACCACAGCCACGTTCACGAATTCTTGAAGTGGATTCTTTAGGGTTTGGTTTCAATTGAGAATTGTTCTTGCAAAGATAGATAGTGATAAGTGGCAAGTAACCATTTTCTTTCCTGCTATAATGATTTTATTTCTACAACTACTTGGAATATGTACTATGTTTCTTGTTTATCACATGGCTGTTTCATTCGTACAAATGAACCTAGTTTCTGGTGCTGGCATGTGATTGCAGTGGTAAGTCTTTCCTCCTCAATGTGCTGCTCAAGTCCACTCAGGGATTCACTGTTGGTGCTGTACCGGACATAGAGACACGAGGAATATGGATTCGAGTGGTACCTAAGAAGAAGTTGACCGGCGCAGATGGTTCTCGAATTGTGTTAATGGACACTGAAGGGTTCTATGGTGAAGATGCAACCCGGTCATATGATGCCCGCATCTTTGCTATGGCGACTCTTGTGAGCTCTCATCTTATTTATAATACACTTCGAACCATTGGTGAGTTACCCCTAATGGGATTAGTCCAGCTCAATTCTAAATAACTAAAGCAATTGAATTTCTAGTTTTAATTTCAATATTTATTTTATTTTCTTATATTTTAAAAATCAGTCTTATGCAACCCAATGGTTCCTTGAATGTCATGTTCATATCTAATTTTCTACATTTTTGTAACTCTTACGAAAGTCATCAAATTTTTGAGTTACCCGACATCTCTTATCAACCACGGTTATGATATGAAAGTTGTTTTGAAGGCAAAATGATTCCAATTTGACACATGTATGGTTATCATGTTTCCTTGCAAGAACCAATGAGGAAATGCATGATAGAGTTGTGATCACAGCAACTTGTGCTACCATTTCTATGTTGAGCGATTGTTTTCGTGAACTGTTGCTCGTTTGGTTGCAGGGGATGCACAATCAGTGAGTGCGTTGGCTGATTTAGCCAAAGAAGCACAAGTGTTCAATCTTCAAAATTGGCTGCATTCCGCGGAGGCTTCGTCTGGTGAATGTTTTCTCCAAGCTTGTCCTCTAGTCGAGGCTTCTTGTTGGGAGGCATTAAATTGATCTCGTGCATTTGTCGGAATCATATAATCTCCAATTCCAAAATGATAGGTCACCCTTAAAGAGTCATGTACCTGGCCATATGTCCTTCATGGAGTATCTGGAAATCGCTGACGACCATGTATTTCTAGTGCAGATCAGCAGCAATTCTCCTCGCCATCCAACATGGATCCTTTTCTCATCTTGAAAACACTTGACTTTCCCCCACTCACTTGGGTGGTCCAAGGGTTTGACATGGATATCCATGCACACAAGCCTATGGAATACCTTCATAAATATTTGGAGGCTCACGCCCACAGTGGTGACCTAACAATAGATACACTTTTTACTCAGGGAATTTCTTGTGTTCCTATGCGAACTCCGACAGATTTGAACAAATTGAGAGAAGAGGTAGTGATTATGATCTATTTGCTAGTTTTCTAAGCTGATTTTATTTGAATTTTGGTTTGATTTAATAAGTTCTTGGCCTTTGTCATGTTTGTAGGTGAAACTCACATAAAGGTTGCACATTTTGCTGTTGACAGTTTTGCATGTTTGTGTTGGTGAATAAAATTTCGTAGTTATTGAATACCTTAAATTGTACGTGGTAGCTTTCTACAAATCATCATTCTACTTGATCATGATGCAGAAAACCATTCTAGAGTGATTAATAATTCTGTTTTTTCTGAGTCTTCAGGTGGGAGGCGTAGGCTTAGCAGCGCATGCAGAACTCTATTCATATCTACACCCAGGCTACCTGGCAGATGCTAAGCGTTTGCGAACTGCAGTTTTTGGGAAGTTGAAGGCCAAAGGCGGTTTCAGTGGGAGTACTTTAGCCGGAGTCTTGCCTCTCCTAGTGCATTACGTTAATGAGGACTTTCCTTTGAATACCGAGCGGAAAATGCGGGATGTTTTGACGGATATTGTGATTGATGGTGCTTTTTCTGGCGGGGTTCAGTATTTCCAGATGTTAATGCAAAACCCCAAATTGCCACCTAGAGCTAGGGACATGTATGGGGAGACTAGGAAAAACGAGTGTAGTTTGCTGGTTTCTACAACCATTACTGCAAGAGAATTTGAAGATTTTATGTCTGTTGCAGGTAAGGCTAAGACCTTCGGCGACCTGTGTGTATCCAGACGGTTATGCATATTTGCGCAAGCATTACTTTGTCGGTGTCTATTGAGTTCTTTATTGGAAATGAATAAGTTTAACTTGATTTACTTAATGTTTTTCATCATTGGCATAATGTGACTTGACGATCAACCATAGTTATCATGTACTTTACTGTAATCGGAAGTCTAGGAATTAACTTAAGGGTCCATGTTGGATGGCGACGAGAATTGTCTCTGGCTTAAGACTCTCCGGCTGTCCAGTTCAAGGAAGATTTATACAACTTTGATTTTATATTGCTTCCTCATATGCCTAATGGACTAAGAGAACCAAGGGCTTCTTTCTTTTCGCAGAAAACAAGTCTATTGAGTACTGTAGGCAGCGTTGTGTGGGAGTTCCTACAGGACGAATAGGTCCAACTTGCATTGGACAACTTGGAACAAAAATTGGTCGAATGAAGCCTACATTTAGGTCTCACTTGAAACTCTGTCTATGTTTCGCTTCACGTATGAGAATTTTCAAGTGATGCAAGGCAAAGTGGCAGAAATTCTTCAGCTACATATTACTTCCAGCCTAGCATTATTTATTTTTGAAATTCCTGGTTTTAACATCAATTTGGAATCCACAGATTGCTTAAAAGTATGTAGTTGTTTTGCAGCGAACTTGATTGTTAACTTGGATTCTAGTATATTTCTTTTTTAAACTTCACAATAATGTTAATTGATGGTTTTTGATTAATCAGGGAGGAGAATGAGCGCCGTGTGAAACAAGTCTTAATGGAGCTGGGACAAGATCTGAGATTATCGGCTGTGAAAGAAATGGAACAGCTGCAGCTCCCAATGCGTGATGCGGATATACAGCGTTCCTGCAAGCAATGTCAAAATAGGTTTCTTCAAGGGTCCGTAAACAGATACTTTTTAATATTTAGTTCGTTGATTCGTTTGTACTTTGCATGATTTTAGTACATCGTCACATAGTTTTTTTTTTTTTTTTTTTTTTTTTTTTTTTTTTTTTTTTACTTGGATGAGATAAATTCGGAGATCGTGGCAGACTGATATTCGTCAGTAACCGGGAGTGTTCATTGTGTCAGTTATGAATCATTAGTGGGTCCTCATCGTGGGAGTAATTTGTACAACGAAGCACGCACACGTATCACATCTGCCATACAAATCATTTGCGACAAGATGTCGTTGATCAACGCTGGAAAGATCGAAACCCTCTTGAGCGATGCTAAAGAAGCCTATCAGGAAGCTTATGAGAATGCCATCCAGACAGGAATTTTGGGGGCAGATGGCGGTTACGATGATGGACAGCATCACGATGGTAACAAGCAGGAAAATGCACCTATTTTTCCCAAGAAGCTTCTTGAAGTTCACAAGGCGGCCA